TAACCGCACCTTAAAACACAGTAATGTACAAAAGTGAAGTCAAATCTAAATCAAATGTGCATACTTTTTTTGTTAAAAGTCAATGTTATACAGTGCATGGTATCTCAAAGAAAAAGGAAAAAGAGAGACAATAATAGTGCAGTATGTCTTTAACACAGTGAATTAGAGTGACATAGCAAAAACTCACAATTTATAGAGCTACAAAAAGCTCTGCTGTGTAGGGCGAAGACGGTACAATCCCCGTCACTGGATATATTTTCAGCTACAGAGGTGGTAGACTTTTTCTGTGTCTCGAATATGTGAAGACAAAAATTGGAATATCCAGTAGTGCAATATGTATATCAAAGTGGTAGTGCATATATGAAAAGGTAGGTATCTTACTCACATTAACTAGAGCATAGACCTGCTCTAGTATAAAGCGCTTTGGTGGTATGATCCCCACCTGCGATATATGTCTAAAAGGATGACACTACGCGTGTGTCACATTCTGTTCCTGTCTGCGGATCATTTCTGGCCTTGGCTTCTGATATCCAGTACTCTATTTACAATTCTTGTTTACTTTTTCTTGGTTTTTCTGGTTTTCTATTCTATGTCTAGTTTTCTTTATGCTGGGTTTTCTAAGTTCATTCTTTTATTCCGTTCCTGGAATTCCCAGTCTCATGGATTCCTTTAAATGTTTGTTTTTTTGTTGCCACACCCATTCCTTTGCCTTTTATCCTTTTTGTTTCAGTGTTCCCTGCTAGCAGTGGTCTCATTCATCTGCTCCTTTCCTTGCAGGTAAGTACTGTGTGTGTTTTATTGTTGTACTATTCTAGTCTTACCTTGTTTCTAGTACTGGATACATATCTGCATAATATCAAGCTCCTGGGATCCGCAGAAGCTGCATCAGGGCCCTGTTATGTGGCCGCATAAACCCTGATGCTCAACACCAGGGAGCATGTGGTTACCCTGTACTAGACCCTGATAGTTAATTTCCACGCTGTGACTCCTACCATCATTAGGCATACAGGGGTCCCAGTCTTTGGACCGCCACACGTGACAGCATGTCATGAGTTTTAAGGTGAGAAATGTCTTTATAAATGCTTTGAGTTCTCATTCGAGTGCTCGGATTGGTTGGCTTGTATGTCTACATCCTCTTGTATATTATATTAGAAGTCCCAACCCATGGGTGGCGTCTTGGGGAGGCATTAGGTTTCCCCCAATTAATAAATAGTGTGGGAGATTAGTATGTCCCCTCGTTTAATTTAACAGCCTCCACCTGCTGGCTTTTTAAAAATCTTTTTAACATTTTAATGTGGTGGCTGGTTGCAAGTTCTGGCCAGCCACCACATAGTTTACTGCTGAGAGGTTTTTGAACTATTTGCCTTCTGGCTGCTAGTACTGCCAACAGATAAATCGTTTTGATATTTAAAATCCCTTTGAAGCAAAAAACGAGCCCAGATTTCAGCAATTTGGCAGTGTTTGGTGCGGCTGAAATTTGGACCATATTCATGCTCATTTTGAGCCTTCTCTGCAAAATTCGGACAATGTTAAATAGTGTGAAGAATGCCTGGATTTTACATCCTTAATGGATAATGATACTCTACATATTAGGTGTTCCCAATAGTTGCATTAAAAAAATCTATAATTTTTATAGGTTTTTTTCTACAAAATTTCTAATAGTGTAAAACATTTTGTAGGCAAAATACATTTTTGCAAGAGAGAAAAAGGAGCGATAAGTTGCAGTGATCTGAAGGTAGAGTTGTGTTGAAGTATGCAACAAAATAAACATCAGCAGCAGAGGCTTGTCCATAGGAAGCACCTGAGTTATATAATTTGTTGCAATAATTAAAAAAACCCCTGTGTTCTGACTGTCTCTATTATTATTCAGTTCTCCATTTTTTGAGAACAACTGGGCATGTTAAGGTATTTGGTTTGTGAAAAGAAGCCCAGTCTGAGTACCAGCCCCAGACATGCTCATTCTTCCACTACAACTGATTTCTAACATCACCTTGATGATTTGCACATGCATATCTGAGTAATTATGCCTTGATAGACTAAGTGAAGCCTGCACCTCTACAAATATTGGATACCTGGACTTTTCTTTTTATGGATTCTATATAATATTAAGGGTTTCGTCGTCCCAGCTTCCTGGAACACCTTCTTACAGTTGTAATCCCACTTCAGCATGAGTGCACTCTCTCCTGACTATCTGTTGATAGACAGACATGTCAATTGCCTTCACTTTTACGGTTCTTATTAGCTCACAGCACTGGGGGCAGAATGCAGGCAGTCAAGGCACACATTCTGAGCCAGGCAGCAAGTTAGCACCCTGACCAATGTAGCAGGACCAAGCCCAGAGTACAGCATGTTCCAAAACAAGTGTCAGTCTCAAATAACTCCACAAATAGAGGAAAAATCCTCTAGTATGTGAGATCAGAGCACATTTAGCGTTCACATTTTGCCAAATGCTACTTGGCAGCAGGCAGGCAGGCCAAGTAGCATTTGTCAAAATGTGCATTATAAAATGCGAACGCTAAATGTGCTCCGACCTCACACACTAGTGGATTTTTCCAGGCTGTCTTATCGTGAGGAGGTATTGTGGAGTTATTTGAGACTGACACTTGTTTTGGAACATGCTGTACTCTGGGCTTGGTCATGCTCCATTCGTCAGGGTGCTAACTTGCTACCTGGCTCAGAATGTGTGTCTTGACTGGGACCAAGAATACTTATCAACCAACCTCCATCTCCCACAGGCTGATGGGGATATCCAGTAGTTTCAACTACTCCAAAACCTAGAAGTGTTGTTTCCTCCATCTATAGCTTTGTAATTGCCTTCAAAATATGTCTGGCACCAATGGCACAGGCTAGAATTGTCTGCAAACTGATTCTGACTGACTCCCTCCTCTCCTCCCCGGCATTCTTCACCCGTGCGGCTCTCTTAGCTGGGAGGAAGTGACGGCTTCCTCCCAGCGGGCGCTGTGATGTCATCATTGGGGCCTGGTCACACTCCTAAAGCACCCCAGCGCTGACTGGGCCCCAGGTTATTCGTGGGCATGGACCCCTTAACCCGATACGGACACACAATATCGGTAGGCACCACGGTCGCAGGGGTCGGCAGCGTGGCCAGGCCACCTGGAGTTACAGGCCCCTGTGACCGCGGTTGTTCCACCACTGGCAATGTGTGCATGCTGTGCCTGAGTGGTGTGTCAGTATGTGTATAATGTAAGTCTGGGGGTGTTTGTCACTGTGCATGGTGTGTCTGTATATAATATGTGGACCTGCCATGTATAATAGAAGTGGTTATTCTGGCTCCATTTCTTTCACCACTCCCCCAAAGTCTAGTCAGCAAAAAATATCGACCTTTGAACTGTCGTTATTTTTGCAATACTGGCACCGGCCAGAGAGCATATAATGTTGGCTGTGCTGGTAAAATACCGGCCATGTGGCAACCCCAGTGTACCAGGCTATGTATCTATATGGAAGAGTGTGTGGCGTAACATCTCCATATGCAAATACACTATGTGTGTGTATTGTTGTGTACCTGTAGCTAACAGTGTCATGACAGTCGCAATTGCGGCCGCGCCTTGGAGTTATGTTTGTGAAGGGGGCCCTTTTTTTTTTTTAAATTCTTGCACCGGAGCCTAGTGGATCCTAGTTACACCCCAGACTAGGAAGAAATCACTTGTTCATTTAATAAAATTACATATATAATAACTGTTCCCCAACTTCCTACCTCTACAGGAGGAGCGCACTCTACCTGTGCTAAAGGAGCACTCAGCTGGTATGCCAGGCCTAACACTCGCCAGCTCTTTCATCCCAGTGCAAAGAGATATGTTGCAGCCTCTCTCTCCATGCATATCCTCGTGGATTCCTGGGGAGAGGGAGAACAAGCCACACTGGGTATAGGCTCTTTACGTTATTATAAACAGTGTATATGGTTCCATTTGCTGCACTGGAACAATATAGAGGCACATCACGATCTGACAGACTGAACGCCTCTTCCTCACTCTTTCTGCTTGTAGTTTAATCAGTAATAAGTACTAGCGATCACCGAGAAAAGGGAGAATCCTTCACACGTGCTGACAGGATTGTGTCTGACTGTGAGGAGTCAGGCTTGAAGACATGGTCTGTTAAATATCATGTCACCGGCCCGCTGTGTTCCATGAAGGGTTGGTGGGGAGATCAAAGATCTCCCTCACCGGCCCACATGTAGTGTATTGTGGCCGCTGGAGGGAGAGAAAGTGAGGGAGACAGGAGAGGAAACTGGAAAAGCTCTATCTTGCAGCTCTGCCGGGTTCCTCTCGTGAGATTCGGAGGGTTGCCATGGCAACGCTCCAGGTCTCGCGAGAGTGAACTCTAGCCCCACAGATTTTCTTCCCAGTCCGGCCCTGCATAGTGGCAACAGTTGGGGAGAGGTGCTGTTATCAGAGGCTCCGCTCCCTACTGCTGTTCTTCACTGCTAGGAATAGGTGGCAGGTTATAAAACTCAAATTCCACTCACAAACTGCGAGAATGCAAGTTGAAATGTTGCGTCCTATATATATATTAAACAGTTCAGGAAAATTAAAAAAAAGACCACTTCATTTTTTTTCTTACATCAGCATCTCTACATGTAGTGCAGCCATTACATTCCAGCATCTGTTGAATTGCAACACTTGCACACCTCATTCTACTTAACAAGGTACTGATTAGGTGATCACCTGAACCAAATCTTATTTAGTGAGGAAAGTATTAAAAAAACTGCAGTGGTCAGTACTTTCCTCTTGCATTAGGACCAGCTGGATGATAAAACCAGAGCTAGTATAATCGCAAGGTAATTAGAAAACAAATTACTATTGACCATGCCAAAATAGTTGAAAAGAAAGGTTGTGACTGAGGAAAAGAAGGGTTCAACTCTAACTTTACTATCAGAGAGATTCATTGAATGTCAGGTTGTTTACATCCTTAAAATGTCACAGCATACCTCACTCACTTCCCGGACGCCACTTGTTTCTCGGAGTCCCGGGAGTGAAAGACGCGCTCCGCCTACCTCCCGGTCACTGGCTGTCTCTTCATTTCACCTGGGCCCCGCAGACGCACCACGTGGGTGGCGGCGTTCAGGGGAAGGGAGGCAAAAGCTGTCCGTTCGCCGACGTACCGCCAGACAGGTTAAGTGGCATGTGTGCTATGTGACCCACACTTCCATTCCAGGGGGAATGTCATTCGAGGGGGCCCGGCCACCCTGTCAACCCCCGGGACTGGGGTACCTGCAAGCATTTTGGTGTGGCCCTTACTTTTCGGAAAAAATGCGGGGGCCGCATTGAAGGAGCCCATCGGGTGGCCAATGTCTTGCAATAGATTTTTTTGGGGCCCAGTCAGCACCTACGGGAATGGAGCTTGGAACGTGCACCACTAAAACCTACCAGTGCACTTCTCCTACTATTAACACCCCATCTTCTATCCATTCTGTCTGTAAAGATGAACCCATGCAACTGGAACTCGTTAAAGGATACCTTCCTGCTGTAGAGATTCAGAGGCATAAAATCCATGATCCTAGTCTTAATTGTGGCAAACCTAATCAAGTCGCTAAAGCCATCACCCAAGCAAGGTAAATACAACTTGACATCATTAAGTTCTCCTGCACTTAAACCAAGCTCCGAGACACCACATTTAACCCTATATCTTCTCTTCCAGTGGCGAGAACAGTAGATTGAACCTTCTGCTATGGTGGACTTTGGTGCTAGTGGCTGCTTCATTGATATTACTTTGGCTACTACCTTATCTATACCTACACGTAATACAATAAATCCTTTCCACATTCAAATGGCTGATGGCAGTCCTTTAAAATCAGGAGCAGTTTTACAAGAAACCTGTAACTGTTTATTGTGGGAAGGGACACAAAAATCATGCTTTGCTTCTCCTTTTTTCCCTTTGTTTACCTTTGCTATCTCTCCATGACCCAGTAATCCAGTGGGGATCTGCTACGGTACTCTTCCCCTCCAATTATTGTAGAAAAATATTGTTTAATAAACAATAAACACGATTTTGGTATGCTAAATACCATTTTGGATATTAATATGTAGCATGAAAAAGAGGTTATCTTGCCAGAGGTGGACAAATCGGAAAAATATATGTTTAACAAAAAGGCAGTGGAAACAGTACCCCCAGGTAAATTTATGACAGCCCAATTGATTTACTTCCTGGGGGAGCCATTCCATATGGACATATATCCATTGTCTAAACCAGAACTGGAGATAATTAAGGAATATATAAAAGAAAATATGCAAAAAGCTTTTACACGCCATTCCTCATCACCAGCAGTGACTGGTATTCTCTTCATCTATAAAAAAGATGGAGGCCTACACCCATATGTAGATTATCGCGAACTCAACCAAAGGAGAATTAAAAACAGATACCCACTTCCACTTATATCATAATTACATGAAATATGCCTTCTATTACATCAAGTTAGATCTCAGAAGGAATAAATAAGAGATAAAATATACAAATAGGAGATAATATTTACAAAAATAGTCTCTGAAAATACAAGGTGGGTCTTGGGTAGGTCTTCTTTGGTTCTTGATAAGGTCCTCAGTGGTTAATATGAAAAACAAAATTAAGACCAATAGTGCAAAACCGTTAGGGGATGGTGTCACGGACAACTAGAAATAGAGAAATGCCAACTCACGATCGATAGAGCTATGCCCAGCTCTAGGTAAAACAGCATACAGTGGTATTTGAAACTCCCCACATGTAGGATATAGCTGGACAATAGGTGATTCTTCAATACTTTGTACAACGACTCACATACGTGTCAGCATATAAAATACATAAAAGAAAAAAAAGGACCAATGGTGCAATAATGTATGACACCTGCAGCTACAAACACTGAAGTCCTAAGAGTGCCAATTTACAATAAAAAGAGCTATAACCAGCTGTAAGTAAAACAGCATACAGTGGTATTTAAACTCCCCACATGTAGGATATCCTTCTAGTGATGTATGGAGTGCAGGAATTATGAAAGACAAAAGCACAAAAGTGAACCTATAGTGTTCTCAGTGGATATCATTGGTGCTAAAAGGTAAAATGAAACATACTTACAATGTATAGAGCAGCCACACTGCTCTATGAACCAGGCGTGAGTGGAATAATCCCCACCTAAGGATTTCTTTGTAGTACTGTTTTTTTTAAAACAGTAAAAATCAGCCAGGATAAAAGTAGCAAAAATAAAAATAGAAGGACTGACCTTAGAAGTATAGGTAGTCTAAAAATACTTTAATTATAACAAGATCATAAAAAAAACACAACGTGTTTCGCCCAAAATAGGCTTTTTCAAGTGTGCGGATCTGTGAATACGATAAATGGAAAACCGCCTTCCACACAATGTACAGACATTTTGAGTATCTGGTAATGCCCTACGGCTTATGCAATGCCCCTGCTACTTTCCAATATGACTTTTTCAGGGACCTACTTGACCAGTATGTTGTAATATATCTAGACAATATATTCATTTTTTTCATCATCTGTCCAAGAACATGGCATACATGTTAAAACTGTGTTGGAACATTTACAGAAACACCATCTATATGTTTAACTGGATAAATGTATATTTCATACACAACGTGTAGAATTCCTGGAATTTCTTCTAACCCCTGGCCATGTAGAAATAGACTCTCGTAAGGTTGAAGCTATTACTTCTTGGCCCATCCCTACAAACAAAAAAGAAGTACGTTTCATTGGTTTTGCAAACTTCTACAGAGAATTCATACATTTTTCCAGTAAAGCTTCACCTTTCACGGTTTTCACCAAAAAAAACCCCAATAAATATTTGTGGGATCAAAAGGCACCGATGGCTTTTTTACAGCCTAAATCAACTTTTTTTCAGCTCCTATTTTATCCCTCCTAGATCCTGAGAAAACATTTTGTAGAGGTTGATGCATTTGAAAGGGCAACCGGGCCATCCTTTCACAAAAAGGAGAGGATGACCAGCTACACCCCATGGCATATCACTCTAAAAGACTGTCAACCAGAGAAGTCAATTATGACGTTGGAGATAAAGAATTATTTGCCATTAAGCAAGCCCTTGAGGAATGGCGTCATCTATTGGAGGGAGGTATTCATCCAGGTCACAATAATCTGGAATACCTATAAAAGGCCAAGATGTTATGTTCTTCATCCGTTTCTTGTTCCATATAGACTATCAACCAGGTTCAAACTGTTTAGGAGGATGCACCATTCCGTATCTCTACTCATGGAAGGCCAAAATTCTGACTCGCCTCCAAAAGGGCTATATCATGACAACCACCTCATCTCTAACAAGTTATGAGACTAAACTAAAGATCCCACTATGCCTTTGCTACCAGAAGGTTTCAACACTCATTCTGGAAAGATTCATGTTCCCCAAACATTGAGAAAAGAGATACTGCAATCCTGTCATGATTCACATGATTTCCACAGCAGGTCATGGAGGGTGTTTTAAAATATTGGAGCTGGTAAAAATAATTTTTTTGGTGGCCATCCATGACTTGACCAGTATGTTGTAATATATCTAGACAATATATTCATTTTTTTCATCATCTGTCCAAGAACATGACCTACATGTTAAAACTGTGTTGGAACATTTACAGAAACACCATCTATATGTTTAACTGGAGAAATGTATATTTCATACACAACGTGTAGAATTCCTGGGATTTCTTCTAACCCCTGGCCATGTAGAAATAGACACTCGTAAGGTTGAAGCTATTACTTCTTGGCCCATCCCTACAAACAAAAAAGAAGTACGTTTCATTGGTTTTGCAAATTACTACAGAGAATTCATACATTACAAGGGGAATAACATTTTAGTCAGTGTCTCGATACTGTCCCCCCCCCGCTCCTCAGCCTAGTGAATTAATGAGTGCTGCAAATATAGCTGCTGCTGGGATTGTAGAGTCAAACACTCTCAGGGAGATGTGAATATGTAGGTATATACATAATGATTTTAAAATCTTCAATGAGTCTGTACAAGCAGAGCTTTTTAAAATTCCCTAGTACAACACCTATAATCCTTTGTTCTCTATTGTGCCATATTGGCTGGCATTATGAAAAGTATAAGAGTGAATTAACGCTCATCAACACTGACGAATCAAAAATAAAGCCTGGATAATAAACAAATGCCAATTTTTACATCCCGGAGCAAATTAAACAAGCAGTTAAGTCCTGTTTTATTCCACCTCTGTTCTATTTACATTGCAAAGCTTCTATTCAGAGAATTGGGCTTATGGCAAGTTACTCACCCTATGTGACATCCAGGTAATTAAACCTGACCAGCCAAGAAGTAGATTAATCATCTTGTCCATTCAGAGCATGACAGTAAGGATATCAACATATACACGTATACCCATATGCTTTCCAAAAGAAGTATCCACCAAATTCTCACTGTTTAAATGCTGATGTGTTAGCAATGAAGCCAGTGTGTCCCTGGCTGGCAAGGTCATTGACGGAATATTACTCTATCTATCCCTCTGAATCCATCTACTGCTACAGTCAAAGTTACTGCTATTTGACAATCTTGAGAGAAGTCTGCTGCTCACTGAGCAGGGTTTAGTGGGAGCAGGAAGTGGAGTGGGAGGAGCTGAGACAGTTGGTGAGCAGGCACATAGCTGGGGTGAGGAAGCAGGGGGGAGGGAAGAGGAAAGGTTTAGCTAGTCCTGATCTTGTGCAGCCTAACATATTTGCCCGTTTGAGTGAAGATGTTGGGAGCATCAGCTCAGGAGTAGCTGTACTGCAGGAAGCTGTTCCTTCTAACAGCCGTGGGAACAGCCCCTCTAGTATGGGTGGGGTTGAGAGGGTAAGAAAGTCTAGACAGGTTGTTGTGGTAGAGGACTCTATTATTAAGAGAGTAGATAGGGAAATCTGCCACTCTGATCAGCTAAACCGGACAGTTTGCTGTCTCCCGGGTGCTCCGGTCTGGCATGTTGCCAACAGAGTGGAGGGATTATTGGGAGGGGTTGCGGATGACCCAGCTGTTACAGGTACCATATTGGTACCTGTAACGGAACTCCGACAGAGTACCTTCCGTTGATGGAAGCTTGCCTCATGGTCTGTATACGTTTCTACGTTGGGTTGGGCCTATAGAGAGCCAACCGCTCCTTCAGTAGAACGTCAAACCATACTTGACTGTACCGATACTCCATGCTTGCTTGGTGTTCCCAGGATGCTGCTCCTCGCTTTTATGAAAGCCATCCCACCGTTGCCACCACTGTAACGGAACTCCCCGTACTCCGACCGAGTACCTTCCGTTGATGAATGCTTCCTAGCTTGCACCGAGGACCACAAGCACTGCACTGGACACCACAACCACCGCAGACTCCACAACTGCCGTAGCTTAACTGGAGTCTTGCCGTCTTCTGTCCTCCAAGACCGTGTGGGGAAGACCTCTCCTCCAGGAGAGCGTATCAAGAACAAGCTCTTAAAAGAGCTAAGTGACTAAAGCTCAGGGGAATATGCAGAGCATAGCAATCCCCAGTGTGAGTATAGCTGTCCCCTCCAATCACGAGACAAAACTACGTGTTGAGGGTCAAGAAGA